CTTATATACAAAGAAATCTATCTACTTGATTTCGTAGTTGGGATATTTTAAGTCTAAGTACTATTCATGTATTCCAATCACAGATTCATTTGATAAAACCGTGTAACAAGTAAATGTAATATTTTATCAACAAGACGTCTTATCTGGATATCGTTTTATTGTTTATTGGTTATAACCGGTACATGTTTTTTCCTTTTTTTATTGTTTTATTAACAATTAAGACACAATAACACGCCGAATAAATACTGATTCAGAAGTCAAACAACAAAAATCAGCGTTATACCTACAAAATTTTCACAGGACTAGTTTCGATGGTTTTACCGAACCATCATCTTCAGCTGCAAAACCGCATTTTGCGGTTTTGCAGCAAAGTCGGGACCAACGGCGCCAGGAAAAGACGCAAGTGTCAGGTAAAAGAAAGAGCTCTGAAAAGACGCAAGTGTCGAAAATGTAAGAGCTCTGCCAGTCCGTTCATCATAACGCTTTCCCCATACAAGCACTCCATATTCACACTAACCGTCTCTTTAATTGATGCTAGTGGAATGAAGTATATCCCTAGTTCTCTCTATATCAAGATGGGTTTAGGTTCGTTTATCAGACTGAAACGGGTCTCATCGTAAAGAGGACGTAACTCCGTTGATGAGGTGTTCAGTTTTTGTCTCTACGCAACTGTAAACGGCGCCGCCGATGGGCTGCTGTCAATGGTATGCAGAGTTCAGGACGGCGGCGGGTGAATAGTCCATCTTCAGAATGTCGTCTAACCACAGTAAGATGACACATCCCTTATCCAGTTGCCATGCGGAACTACTGAGCAATGTTGTCCGATTCCTCGTAATGATTTTTTCTTCCTGCAGGGCAATATATTGGTACGTTGTTTTCCTATACCTATCATAACTAATCTTTCTTAAAGCTGGACCAGTCGTCTGGAAGGCTTTCCCAACTCATGAAACAACATTTTTATGAATACCAAGCTCCTGGGCGACAGACATCAAATTACGCCACTCTTCAAACTTTTTAATCATTCTACCACATGTAAATCGTCCGGATGTTTCTTGTACTCATACGGAACATACAATGTCAGTTACATTTGCAGAAGAATTAACTGGAAACACGTTTTTATTTCTTCGTTTTAAGTTGCCTTGTACTATGAACGCTGCGTCCGCGCACTTTGCATGCCCTGACGTACACTCTGGTGTCATGATGCTGATGTCATGGATTGTGATGTCATATGCATCTCTTAAGTTGGCTTTTTACTGTACTGAAAGCAAAAAGCACTTTTCAACAAGTTTATGATTGTATGATGAAAAATGAATTTGTTGCTTATGTTTTTCACACTTGTAATTATTTCTGATAAAAAAATTAAATTATACATATTTAAATCATATTTACATAGTGGTTGTTTAATTACGTATTTATGCTTTCTCCTTTTTAATTTACTCCTAATTTTTAGAAAAAAATGCCGGCAATACATTGGCCATTTCTCATAATAAAAATTTCTGACTTATATCTTGATTGTTTGAAGACAGAATACTTTTAAACTTTATCTCCAGTACCAAATTAAACAGTAAAATTTACATTACCTGCGCAACTCATTTGCTGATACACAGATATTAAGAAAGGTTCTGAGCGCTTAGTTTCTACTTAAAATTATAATAATATGTTATAAGACCTTTCATATTTTGTGCAGCTTAACATCTACTTCATAAAACCTGTACGAAAGGGCATTAAATTTTTAACCGTATATTACTAAAACTAAATTAATGCTTTCAGAGATATTGTTCAGTAAAAAGTTCTTCATTGAATGATTTACTTCCATATGGCAGTAGCTCAATTTTACAGCATCCCTGTATCTTTTACTTTTTTAAAAATAATGGTCGTTTGTTAGTCTGAATACAAAATGCTTAACTGCTGTCGTAGTTAATTATTGGGTAGATAAAACGTGTCCAGTCTTACCTCATTATTTTGTTCTGAGTGATCATAATAAATCAATACTTCCAACATTAAATGAGTCAGTATATCATCGTAGAACAAGAACTGCTTTATCCTCATGTAGACGTTTTCTAATAGATATTCCAAGTTATAATACGCCGCTGAGGAATTCATTAAGCGTTTATTAGAGCTATCTTGGTAACAACTGATCACCAAGTGAGTGATGTTTCATTCCCTTTATCAAACATGGGGAGATTGCATCAAACAAAGTTATATATAATATTGATTATATATGTACTTTTGTGGGCAATAAGTTTCACTGTCCATTTTGCGTGTTCCAGAAGAAAGCTGCTTTATATTCGACAGGATTTTGGATCATACGAATACATGATAAATACACGCTTTTCCAAGGTTATTTTACATTAAAATACACATGCCACCGATAATATGAAAACAACTACCTTTTTTTAAAAAACAAACATTCTAGATATTTCACTGTTGTTTTTGGAAATAAATATAAATTAGAATTATCAGTGGAAGAACATTGGCTCTTTTATATGGAATATTTGTAAGTTTGAGTATTAATCAAACATAAACTCTATAACTAGTCTTATTTAACCAGAGATATATTTCCTTACTCATTTTAGAATTTTAAAACGCTAAATATTACATAAAAGTCAATAAGGTATTTTCTTCTTCTTCTTTCAGCATGCTTTCGTGGTGTAACGGTAGCACATTCGGCGCGTATTCGAGAGGTACAGGTTCGAATCCCGGTGAGAGTATTTATCATTTTCTATGTTTCCAGCATCACAAAATCTAATGACTCTACAGTGGTCCCCGAACAAAGAAAAGGTGTTGAACAATAATTTGTCACCACCAGGATTTGGCGACTGTGTCCCCTAATCCACAATCACCGTTTAAAAGGGGGAGTATATAAAGTATCAGTAGTGGGCGCAGCCCGACCCATCTAACCAAACAAGTTGCTCTCATGGTCATAACAGGCCCCTCCCATGGAGTATATAAGGTATTTGCTCCCTCCTTCGAGCATCGAGTAAAAATGCACACTGTTCCTGAAACTTGGACCAGCATCTCTCCAGCCTACCAGACGCCGTTATAGCCTCACGTGACAAAGTAGTCACGCCCTCTTTCACTTTGCATCCTGTCCTCAGGACATACTCATGCACTTCCTATACCTGCAGTGTACTTATTAATTTATGACAGCCGGCATACAGCTTGCTACCTGCAAGCTACACATGACAATAGTGGGAAAAGGAAAAGGAAATTCGAGCATCAGTACAATGCTTCTGATTTCAACGATACGGCCACACTCAGAAAGCATGCGGCAATATTCCCAGATGCGTTGGATGCTTGAATAATCATCAATCTTATCAATGTCCGATTAAAGTAATCGAGATATTTCAGCGAGATGTGTCCTCTGTAATGGATTTCATGCGGCCACCAGTCCTGATTGCCCAGAGCCCCCAAGTAAAAAGTTCCAAACCCAACAGAAACATAAAATTCCCACACAAGAAGATCTCCCCAAATTTAATAGGAAAATGCTGAAATTCCTAAAAGCGATTCTAGAAATTACGCGACATGGCAAGTAATAAAGACAATGCAGCAGAGAACACCAAAATCTCGAACATTAAAAACCTAGATGAATTTAAGTCCTTTATTTTCAAGTTAAAAGATCTTTACCACAAATTTATCAGATTACAGAATGAGAATAAAAATATTAGAATTCGAACTTCAGGCCCAATAAGAAAATAACCTACCTCCAACTGTTTGTTTAAGTTTAATTTCTTCGCAGTCCTGCCCAGGGACGCTTAGCTGAGCGGTCTAGACCTACGATATTTTTTTTTGCCAGCGAGATTGAGTGTTCTATCCCAGCCTACCGTGATAAATTTAAAATGAGACTTGTACATATTTTTTTATTTTTATAGTTTTGTTTGGATTTTTCCACTTATTTTTCAGTTACAGTGTGTTTATGTGTCTTCATTTTTATTCCAGATACTTTTAAAATTATTCGATTTTTGTAGAAACTTTAGTGCTGCTGCTTTCCCATTGGCTTCTCCAAATCAGATGATCGATGATCTCTATCAAGAAATTGCCTTGCTTCAAAGATTATGCCATCGATGTTTTTTCGATGTTTCTTTAAAAAACTTCAGGAAATTACGAATTACATGAAAGACCACTGACGTGATATACAGAAGCAAATGTTGTAAGACCGAAGGCTTCTTATACAACTGATAATCCGTGATCTCTTCGAGCATGCTTTCGTGGTGTAACCGTTATCGAGAGGTCCAGTTTCGAGTCCCGGCGAGAGAATTGGTCATTTTTCACGTCTCCAGAATAAAAGAACCAAACGACTAGACAAAACTGGGGAAAATGTAAATAAATATTTATGACGATCTATAGTTATTTTTATCCGTATTGTACCTTTTAAATTTAATGGTTTTCTTAATTTAATCTGAAATCAGAGTTAAGTTCTGAACTTCAAAAGTAACGGTTTAGCTATTTCGTCAGAGATAAAACTGCATAGATTTTATATCAAGGATCCTGAAAAAAAAAAAACACATTTTGTGGAGAAGAATTGTCGGTTAAGTGCTTTACGAATGTCGCTTTATTTCACGAAATGATGTTATTTGTTTCCATTATCATGTTTAATGCGCAAATTGTTCTATTAAAAGATGGAGTCCCAATAAAAATTTCAAGAAAAGTTCCGGTACTAAAATTTCCGGTAGGTTATTTCTTTACTGATGCTTTTTTTCTTGTGCACCATGTGAACGAATTTTGATTCTTTAACGTTTAAACTATATTTTTCAAAATTTAATAATGCATTTATGCGAAGATTTATAAGGTATTTTTTAAAATTCATATAATCGTCTATAAAGCTAAGTTTTGAATTTAAAAAGTAAAGATATTAATGCCATGCATTAACAATGCAATTAAGTATTATTCTAAATATCCATGATAGGACATTCAATCAGTGTCAAATTCCGTAGTATATTTTTGCGCACAGAAATGTACAAATTTTTCGATAATAAGTATAAATGCTTAAAGTTGCTTACCAGGCTTCAAATGTTTTGCGTAAATTTCTATTTTTTATCTGGCAATACTCCTTATTCAAATAGAATAAAGCTTAGTAATACAGACCTGAAAGGAAATGGAAATAAATAGCTTGTTTATTTATCGATATTATTACTAATGGCAGTATATAATTATAAAATTAAATCTGTGCTTAATTTCTGAAAGAAAAATTATTATTCAGAACTAAAGCAGATAGCAAGTGCAATTGCTATTTATTACATATTTTAAGCTAAAAGGATTTAGTTTTTTAGCAATTTCGCTTGTCCTTTTCACAAAAATGCTTTACCTTAATCTATGCATTTTTTGAACTCATGTTATTTTTAAAGTAATACTACAGTCCTTTGCTCTCTGAAAACATAAAATAGATCAAATAATAAATCTAAAGCTTTAATTACATATTTATGCATTTTATTAGCCTGTAAATAAAAGATTACATGCTCCATAAATGGTACGTTAAAAAAAGTAGTTTTAATTATTTTTATTTCTATTTCTATATTTCTTTTTAGTTCCTTCACCGAAAGCAAACAAACAAATTTCCTTTCTGTACATTTCTGTATTCCGATCTAAACAGGAGAAGACTATATTAGGCTAGTAATGTAACTGAAAATTCCATGTTTTATGAAACGCTATTTCCTGCTTTGAAATTCACCGCAAGTTCAAATGGATATATTCAAGTATTCAGCTCTCGACTTTAACTATTGATTGCTTTTCCATTTCTGTGTTACGTTATTTTTAGCGGTAGCAGATCAATGGCCCGTGAAACCGTAGACTTTTATTTCTTTTCCAAGTGGTAAAACTCCGTTTGAAAGTTGATTCTAGTAGCATATGCAATTTTACAAACCATTAAAGGTAAAAGACAAGTTATCCTTTTAACAAGACTTTTATATTTTGTACCACGGTTAGTAAGAAGAAATGTATATGAGCATAAGTATATGAAGAAACATGAACTGCAACTCAGTAACTTCTTCACTTACTCTTTTATTTTTCCTTTGACTGCCCAAACAGGAATTACTACGCTCATTTCTCCGCAGCTGAGATACTATTATGTTTATTCTCCTGCAAATTCAAAGGATTACAATTCGTTAATAAATCTAGATAATTAAGTTATGTGATATTTTCTATTTATTTTGTTTTTATATCCTATTCTTGAAAGGTTAGTTGTAAATACGTGGATCTAATTTAAGAAGCAATCGTTTTCGGGATGAATCTTCATCACGTTTTTATTTTTATTTAAAAATTTACGAATCTGAAATTTTTGTCCTATCTCTATACATGTAAAGCTTCAATTAAGATGTTTTCATTATACGAGTAACATTTAGAGGTTTAATCGAAACACTTTGTTTATCATACAGAAATATGGTACCGTATGAGATTAGTAATAGAATCCATAATGGAGTCTGTAATAATTAATATATTAATAATAATTATATAAATATTATTTTCTATTTTCGTAACTAGTATTATGTATAGCTGCTATTTACTGTTAATGTAATATATATATATATATATATATATATATATATATATATATATATTAGTAGATATATATGTAATAATAAAATTCCGTAGTCAAAAATACACTTAAAATTCTAACTGTAGTTCTTTTCATTTTTAATGGCGACGGACTCTTATTTGAAAGTACGTGGAATTAAATCCACAGCCCCGTAGTCAAGTTGTTTTTCCCGCCTTTTCAACACGTACAGTTACAGAATGTTCTGGAGATATTTAAAGCGAACTGGAATGGCTGACGAGACTGACGTCATTTCTTGGAAGCTACGCCTTTCCAGAGGGTATAAAAGGACTCGCAAAGGAATATCGGGGCCTTTTCTTTAATGTAAGGATGCAGTAAACTTCATACAAAAAGTTATTAGTAATTATTTTTTATTTACTCCGGAGATTTGATTTTTGTAACTGCTATTTCTCCTGAATAATAATAAATGGATCCTGTTTTTTCAACTTATCGTCTGATACTTTAAGCTTTGACAACATCTATGATTCTTTCTTCATCGATCTATTTATTCCGGACAAAAGCTGGTACATCACATATATATATATATATAAACACACACATATATGTAATGATTTTGCGGATAGGCACAGCAATGATGAAGTTTGGCATCAGAATCCGGCCGTTATTTGGCTGAGCGGAATACAGCAGAATGCTGACACAGAAGGATTTTGCTTTTAATTGCACATCTTTATTTAATTCAAATGGCAGATCCTTTTTCTTTAAGATGAAATTCTCCAAATTACATATCAAATAGTGTTTTAAACCAAACAATCTGAAATCTAAGCTTCTGACGTCATAACTTTTAGCGACAATAGGATTTTTTGGAAGCAAGAGAGATGAAAAATTAACAGCACTTTCGCCGAAAATCGAACCGCGAATCTCTGTAATACCGGCCCAGTGTGCAAACCACTTTGCCACGAAAGCTCGTTAAGAAGGCGGGAGAAATACCTTATAAACTATTCTAACAAAGGTTAGAAAGATGGACAGAGAAACGCAGAGTCTTGTAGCAACGTTAGTAGGAAGCAATCTAACTAAAAAATGGCGCGTACTCGTATTTTTGCTAGCGGTTAGATAACATGCAAGAATGTTCTCGAAAGTACTGGTCTAGGTGGAAGATGCTGAAATTGAGGAAAGTAAATTAGAGGTTGTCTGTTAGCAAAACCATCGTACTTTTTATATTCTACGTCTTTATATGTAATAATTACTGTTACTATATTATATTAACGACATTGTATAATAGTTATATATGGTGCAGTATCAAATTTATCTGCCTATACAATACAATTTCTCTCTCAAAGTCGCCCTTGTCTGATGTATAAATCGAAACTGTTACCTAAATCTAAGTTGAAGTTTGGTTTCCTAAAATATCAAAGTCGTCTAGATATTCACTTAAATGTTAAATTTACGTCATAGAAAAACACTTTTTTCTCGAGTCAGGATATTTAGCTAAAATTTTATTTTATTTTTTGTAGCATAATTACAAGTTCAATCATATACTTTCTCATAAACTTTTCAAAACATGCAGCAAGTCTTTGAGGACAACACTATGCCACACTAGGGTTAATACGATCAGTTCAAAATAACAAAGAAGGAATATAATCGTGCTTAAAAGTTGACATGAAATTATATAATTACAATCACACATTTATTCTGTAAATTGTCAAATGTCCGACGAAACATAGTATAGATAGTGAACTCTATCTAAGTAAACCAACAATGTCAAAGAATAAGACTGGATTGTAAAACGAATAGTATTTAGGCCTTAAGAAAACCATGAAATAACCTTTAAGAAAGCGAAAATTAAATAAAAGGGATAAATAAATAGTAACAAAGAATATAACTCGATTCTATAATGGCAATTTAAGCCGTACTGCTGGTGAGTTATAAGTCGTCTCTCAAAAGAATTAAATACCATAATTCGCAACCTTATAAAGAAAAAGAATTAAATGAAAATTTTAGATATGATGAGTGTAAAGATTGTTCTATCATATGGGCTGTTGTTGATGTAAGTAATTAAAAGTAAACCCATATCTTTGGTTAGAAATTAGAATTTTTCGTTATGGAAGTAATACAAAATTCAGAATGAAGTGGCAATATAATTTAATCACAGATATCTAAATGTCGAATTAGAAGTGCCCATTTTTGTTGTTTCATATGCGTTCCATCGCAAATAAATTTTAACTTCCACCATGCTTTATTTATTTTGTAAATTTCATCTTGGTCAGCTGTTTCTGTGATGTTGTTGTAACTTAACCCTCTAAGTGGCCAGGGTTTTATTTAAGAAAGCACTAAGTTTTCAAAGCTACTATGAGAACAAATTATTTTTATAAGTTTAATGTAAAACCTCTCCTGGTATTTCATACCTGGATTTGTGAACTTTTGATATATTGCCTTAATTTCGTTGACATATTTTAAATATGCATGTATATATACGTTCTTACAGATATCACAAAAAATATTCTAGGCCGTATATATACGGCCTTGCCGCTTAAAGGGCTTTAACGGCTAACAGTGTACCTGAGAAACATGAATAAATAATAATAAAGAGAGTTAGGCATGTTAAGCATTTGAATGCAAAGATTAGGAATATAATTATGTATGTTATTATAAATTTATTTTTAAGGCCCATGTTCCAAATTACCCTTCATAAAAACCATACAGTTATTTTTTATATGGTAAATATAAATTATAGGCAAAATATAGGCAGAATTAAAGCTATATAATTTTGACGATTTATTTGGAGACTAGTTTTACATGTTATTATTTTATTGCTAGATTTTTCTTTTTCCAATAAATATTTCTGTTTCTTAAAGAACAGATTAGGAATTGAAACGTTTATTTTTTCTTCGTTTTAAAATACGCGTATATTTTAGTAAATGATGTCACACTATTTCGAAAGCTATAATTTCAAAGCCACCGTTATATAAGTACCTAAATTCTGATCCTGATCTATGACAAAACATCCGATATCAAATATATGAAAATAAACGCAGCAGTTATAAGTAAAATAAGAAGAATATGCATTATTTGCCTGTTTTGTTATCTAATATGTATGAACTATAAAGCTAATTTTGTCAAGAAATCACTTTATTAATTGAGGTCCTTTATGATTTTTCTCATAAAATAATTCCGCAAAATTGTAAACTTTAGTAACTCTTAACGTTATTTGTATTGAAAATTTTGAAATATTAAAACACACTTAGTAGCCTTTCAATTATACTATTTACTTACTATTTGCAGCTAAATTTTTGAGTTAAATAATTTTGCGTTGCAAACAAATAGCTTAATTTCTGTATAATTTAAAATCAATGATCTCATTGGAAATCATGAATTATTAGCTAATAATTCAAATATATTCCGCTGCAAGCAATGCATATTTAAATAAACTTGGATAAACCGTTTAGGTTTGTAAACTAATTAGGTATTCATTCCTCTTAAAACAGTATCCCAAAGAGAATATTAGGAAACGTAAGTTATAATAACGTATTTACTGTTTACCATCACAATTAAGCAAGTGTTGTAAATTAAATTAAACGTTAGTATTTAAAGGATACTTTTCGCTATATTATATCTTATTCAGGATAACTAAACGAGGATTAGAAGATTACTTTATACGTGTAAGATTTCGATGTTGGAAAGACGCCATTATCACAGGCCATGCAAAGTTAAGA